ACTACTCATCTGCCTGGCTTCAAGCAAGTTCCATTACCATGGGGCAAAGCATGAACTACAAGAAAAACCTCCTGAAGGGAGGAGTCAAATTAGTTCCCAGCTCTACCAATTTAGGGAACAGACAGGCAGTAACGGAAAGCTGTCTCCCCAGGTCTCAAAAGGGAAAAACTTAACAAGAAATTGTCGTCTGGATTCATATCTCACTACAATCTCTGGTAACAGCAATTAAAAACAAACAAAAAATGGCTGTCATTGAAACGATTCTGCCTTATAGTGAAGTGACCCCATGTATGTCAGAGTGGAACTATAATGCACAGCTGATCTTTTAGAAGCAAACTGCTAGGCCTTTCTTCTGGGACACCTGTGGGTAGACTTTAAATGCCCACCTTTTAGTGGATGGTTGCTTAAAAGTTTGCACCAGCCAAGGATCCCATAATGATAAACCAAAATCAAATTCACTGCTGTCAGTGGTTCCAACTCATAGTGACCCCTTTTGGTTTCTGGGGCGGTAAACCTTTATGCAGTTGTCTGACACCTTTCTCCCAAGGACTGATGGCTGGTGGATTCCAACCACCTATGTTTCTGTCAGAAGCCCAACACATGATACACTACACCACCAGGGTTCTTCCATGGTAGTACCGATTAGTAACGAGATGAATGTAGAGTTTCTTAGTGTAGTATCACGCGCGCGCACGCGCGCACACACACATACATACTGTCTCTCTCTTCTATTAACTCTCAGACTTAGAAGCTTTTTGTGATGGCTAATTTGTACTCAGGGCTGACTTTAAAACTTCACACTAATTCCACTTTAATAGATCTCCTTTCCTGCAAAGATGGAGCTAGATCCTGGCAGAATATTTTTGAGTATATGCATGACTGACTCTCTCTCTCTCTCTCACACACACACACACACTTTAGAACTTGCTGAGACCACATTATAGGAAGATCAGCATTTAAGGTGACGAATGGTAATTAAACAATAAACACACACACCAGTGATTATTTGTAGTTCAATACTTTTTTCTTTTAATTCATACTGTACTTCCATGGCTCTAGCTACTTTACATTAAGATTTGGCTGAGGAGTCTTTATGTTTCTAGGTACTAGCAGTAAATTTTCAGACCTTGCGCACAGCGCCAGGCAAAGTACAGTTACAGATTCCAATACAGATGGCCAGACAACTCGACTGCAGTAACCCGTGTTCTTCCCCTCATATGGCCCAGTGCAAGTGTTGCGGGCTGTTCCCTCTGCCTCACCCCACTCCACCCATGTCAGGATCATCCAGGGGCCACTGTGGCCCCCTGAGCCATCCCTCTCCATCTTGGAGTTTAGGTCGAGGAGGGGGGGAAAGCACCGTGGGTTGGGGAAGATGGTCTGGTCCATGCAGAGAGTGTCTGGCTCCAGAGTGCAGGATAAGGGTATGTGGGGCATCACACACTATCAGTTGGCAAAAATGGCTGCATATACTATGCAAGCTCAGCATGTGGCACCCGAGGCCCACTCCCCAGACAGAGCCAGCTGTTTTGCCTGGAGAAGAGGCCACCATTTTGCTTCTGCAAAGTGTCACATTGTGTTGAGAGAAGCAAGTAGGGCCAAAGGGCAGAGATGACAATGTTCTTTAGGTCTTCACATGATGGGGGAGATCATCTGGCATCAGCTCCTCTTGGCAGGCAAGGTGCTTCTCACCAGCAGCCAAGGCTCCATCCGGGCTCCCAGGCCTGCTGAGGACCTCGAGTCATGACAGAACGCAATGCCCAATACCCCTGAGCTGTCAGAACACCGTAATGCGGAGATGGCTGGTCCCATCACAGCCATGGCCGGAGCAGGAGTGAGGTAACAAGGCTGGGCAGAGAGGAGAAAAGAGGAGCTCTCTCTACACCATGTGCAAATTCCTGCCTCCATACTGGGAAGGCAGGGGCATTAAAGGATGACCTTCCAGAAAAATGCTCCTCTCAGACCCACAGATGCATCTTCTGGAAGGAAACAGAGAAGTGGAAGGGGGCGGTGCCAGCCTGCTGGGGGTTCTGGGCGGAGGGGTGAGGATGTCGTGGGTGAAAGTGATGATTGTCCCACAGCCTAGTGACAAGGGATGGGAGCATAAGGGTCAGAAATGCAAGTTCTCAAGTTTTTCTTAAGAGGATGGAAAGGGCCTGTGGGTTGGGGGTGTAGGGAGGGAGACCATGGCCCTACCACAGAGGACTCCAGAGAAGCGTGCTGCCTCTTCCAGTGGGGAAGACTGGTTTTGGCTGCCCGGCAGGGTTAAAGAAGCGGCATGGCACAGCATGGCATAGAAAGGACCCTCCTGGGATCACCAACAGTCCAGAAAGATTCTTCCTCTAGTCGTTTCCCCAGGATCTCCCCCTAGAGGTGGTGCCCTGCAGGGTGTGATGAGCACTGAGGAAGGCTAGGTGGGGAGGGGCATGCGGGTCATCCACTCCTAACAAAACCTTCCTTCCTCTTTAGGTCTCTTGGCCCAGCCTTCTTCAGATCCCAGGTTCTCTTAGTGTGCTCTAAGGCAACCTGAAAAGTTTAGCAAACACTTCCCACTTTATCCAAACGCTGGCAAGATTTTGGTGGAGAACTAAAAGAGTCATGCTAGAGTTGAAAATGGTTTCTTTCTGCTGTTTCACCTACAACAGAGGAAGGACAGACGAAAGACTGTAGTCTGAGGAGGGAAGATAGGTAGAATCAAAGGTGATGCTCTTCTTGCCATTATCCTCTTTCTAACTTAGACAAAGCCCAAAAGACCGTCCCTTAAACCAAGAGTTGACCAGAAGAAGACACAAAGTCCTTGTTTTATACAAGGTTCTCTTTCTCAATGGCTTCCTTAGCCTTCACAGCCCATAAAGAACATTTATATAACCTGGGTTTCCGGGGAATCCGGACGCTTCCCTAGCACTAATACAGGAAGGCTCTCACACAAAAGTCTTGTTCTCTCCTGGCAGAGTCCTTTCCAAGTCTGAGAAAGCCCAATCTTGCCAGCCTCAGGCCGAAATACCCGACAATATCCAAGCTGCAGTCTACCTCGGAAATAATCTAACCTAAACTCTCTCTGCTCCAGATGAGGGCACTGAAGTTCATCAGCAAGGCGGTGTGACTTATCCAAGGTCACAGAGCAAGCCAGGACTCAAGCCCAGGTCCTCTGGCTCAGCCCAGTGTTCCTACACAAGTTTAAGTTGCTGACTGTAACCTGTAACTGCCCAGGAGCTATCTATCCCAAAATCCTGGTGGGTGGGGGGTGGGCGGAGGGAAGAGAGTTGCAGATATGACCACCACCTCTTGGGCCAATCTGATTAGCTCCTCCATAGAACTGGAGCGGAGGGTCCAGCCCTGTATCTGTTCTGCACCTAGTTAGTAACCAGGTACACGTTCTTTCATGGAGAATACAAGTGCTCACAAGTTTCAGCAAGTGAAACCTGCCAGGAGGACTAGAGAACTCATACCTGAACACTACCAACAAGAAAAGCTCTGGCTGGAAGAAATAACACAAGAAGTAGTGGTTTTTATGCTTCCCTGCAGGCAGCCACTAGCCTGGGTCACTGACCATAAGTTAACACATTATTTGTTTTACTCCCTGATGTCCCTGCAAGAGTGAGCTCGCTTCTTTTTCACACGTTAGTTTGAGTGAGAAGAGTTGTAAGCCTTCCTCTGCCTTGGATGTAATTATTAGAACAATGAATACCCACGGCAATCCCTGATTGTTAGAAACAAGGCAGGTTAAGATCATTCTCTCCTGGGTTCAATTTACCGGAAAGCATGAGGGTTCCCTGACGTGCTGAAACCTCCACCCAGTCACCAGACCAGCACCTCCCCTGCAGGACCCTGAGAGTGAAAGCAAGAGCAGCACAGCCCTCTGCAGTTAGGTCTACTCTCATCGCTCCCCTCCCAGAATCGGACCGCCTCCAGGTCGCCCCCAAAGCTCCAGTATGCTGCTTGTAGAATGTGATCATTTAGGTAAATGATTAGGAATGAAATAAATGAGAGCTTCTTGTTTTTTTTATTTCCAAAATTTCTGGGAGTAACACTGGCTTTAGGCCCATGGGCCTTCACCCTCACCAAGGTCCCTCACTCAAGCCCCAGACAAGAACAGACTGCCCTGTGGGCACAGGTACCATTCCCCTGAGAAGGACTGCACTATCAATTCTAGCTGGCACCTGGAATCTTCTCAACCTAATTCCAGGATAAGGTTTTAGCCACATGCCTCGCTGTCCTCTTATCCTTCGCAATACAAAGGCCATATTCTTATACATTAAAAACTCAACTCTCATTGCCATCGAGTCAGAACCAACTCAGAACTGACCTATCAGCAGGTGCCCAAGGCTGTAAATTGCATGAGAAAAGACTGCTCAACTTTCTCCTGCAGAGCTGCTTAGGGCATTCAAACCACCAGACAGGGGCAGCTTTCAGGTTAGAAGTCTAACACGCTACACACTATACCACTAGAGGCCCCTGGAGATGAAAATGTAAAAAACATTGGTTAATTGTCAAAGTGGTGTGATGGGGCCCCTCGAAGGGAAGAACTTGGAATTTCAGGTGACAAGCCTTCCCTCCCTCGTGCTGATGTTGGGGGACCTTCGTTCTGCTCCTTGCATAAAGGCGACCTGAGCACACAAGCTTGGAGAGTTCTCATCAAATTGCCTCTGAGTTTTGCTCCCTGAGACTCTCCTCTGCCTAGGGCTGGCAAGACCCCTCTCACCAAGATAGGGAGAACTGGTAATCAGGGAGGAAGGATTATGTCAGAAGGGCTCTGGGAGATCAGATTAGCCCTGAAACACCATGCAGGACTCAAGTGCCAAACCAAATTTCTTTCTACTCCTTAATGATCTCACTTCTTTCTGGGCCAGAGACCAAACAAGGCTTCTCCTGTCAAACCCCCCAAACCCAAGCTTCAGCACTGGGGATTTGGAACGGGTCCCTGGGGCAGACGCCATCTGGCTTCTCTTACTAAGATGTATGTCTTTGCCAAATCCACTCCCTCCAATGTCAAAGATCTTTCTTGACTAAAGTTGATCTTAACTGAGAGTAAACAATGCTGGCAACCAACTGCGTGGCTTGGGGATACTGGTGCTCACTGTCAGGAAGTTCACACAGGGCGCTGTGTGAGGCCCTTCAGCCCACATGCTTTGCCAGGACATTCACTCTCTCAAATCCTAAAGAGACTCCCTGACTCATCCTGGCAATCAAAGTGAGTGCTCAACGTGAAGGAATTAGAGCTGCCTGACTTGCTTATAACCACTAAAAGAGGTTTAACAAGATCAAAAGAGCTCCGCCCTGGCTAAGAAACAGTGTGCTCTTAGGGCACAGAGAAACAATAGGACTTTAGGCACTAAAAAGTGACACTTCACCCAGAACCAGCCTGGGCAAAGACCAGAGAGAACGGGGGTGGGAAGTAAGACACTCCCAGCCCTTATTGGGTCCAAACCCTACAAGATAGAGAAAGATGCAAGGGATAGCCAAAGAGAACACCCTTCAAAACACAGGTCCCGAGGAGCCTGCGGACTCAAGTCCAGGCCCACAGAGCAGCTTGCCTAGTTTCCCAGACAATTCTCTCCACTCAACTCCTAGTGCGTGGCCCACAAAGCGCGGGTGGCCACTTGTGGGAGGGTTCACACTGGGCGTCTGCCCTTGATGCTTCCTTGTTCAGGAGAGAATGCCTGGGGGAAGCTTGGGGCAGGGGGAGAAAATGAGCTTTGATTTTGGAGACAAATCAAAAGAGGATTAGAGAATGAAGCACCTTAGCAAATGCCCCCTTGAGATTTCTTTTCAAGACCCCAGGCTCTTCACAGACATAACTTTGGCTCAATGACGTTTCCCTTCTAAGAGCCAAGAGTGGCTGGCAAGGGAAAGGGAGAGGGCTTGGGAGGGAAGGAGGAGGTCCAGGGAAGGTCAATGCTAAGAGCTGGTCCCTGACCTCCTCAGCTCCTCCAGCAAAGGAAAGCATTTTCTCCGGCCAGTCCAGGAGGCGGTCCTGCTCATTCTCCCTGGTACATAGGCATTATCTCTTTTTAAAATCTGTATATAATATATATATATTTATATTCTATATATATATATTTATATATATATATATTTATATGGTCTATGTACATGTATTGCACAGGCCTCTTGCATCCACCCCTGTTCCTGCCTTGTCAGTGATAGCGGTTCCTCTTCTCTTCACTTTCTGACGTGTAGTCCCGGGACCTGATGCCATTCTGAAGATTGATGAGTGAGTCTTTCATCTGGAAGAGAGAAGAACCTCACCTCAAATACAGAGTTTGTTCCCGCAGTAAGCCTCCCTGTCCAGCAGCAGAGGGCCAATGGTGGCAAGTCTCCAACCAAGCTGGGGCCACGAGACGCTGGGCTCCTAAAACAGGGGCTCTGAGGGGCACTATCTCAGGTAGACCAGGGGCAGGCCAGCTTATACTGACAACCCTGAAGGCAAAGCTCCGTGGGTCTCAATCATTTGTGACCTGCGATATGGAAAGGCTCTTTCGAAGCTTTATTGAGTTGTTGGGTACCACCCAGCTGACTATGACTCACTGTGACCCTAAGAACAGAAGCTCTGAACCTTGCCCTATCCTTACCTATCCTCATCACCTCTGATATGCTCCAGTCCACTATTAGTCACTACGTCCAGCCTTCTTGTTGAGGGTCACCTGCTCTTTCTCCGACCCACCACCTTGACGGTGGTGGCATGGCATGATGTCTTTTTTCCAAGAACTGGCCTTTCCTGACAACATGCCCAGAACATGTGAGCTGATGTTTCAGTATCCTTTCTTTGAAGGAGCACTTTGGTTGCACTTCCCCCAACACTGACTTGTGTTGGAGAAGAGTACTGAGTGCTCCACAGACTGCCAGAAAGCATTACTCATTTTGGGTTAAGGACTCTCTTGAAGACGCACTTCAGTCTTGTGAGGGAGTCACATTAAACTGCCAATTTATTTGACCTTCTTGATTCCAAAAAGAAACACTGTCAGGCCAACTTGTTTTCTCCACTGATTCTGAATATTCTATACTCCTCTTTGTGCATTTTGCTACATTGTTTTTATTCTACCCTGGGGATTCTTTTCTCTCTTCTCTATTCCACTGTCACCCATATATTAAGATGCTGAATAAATCAACACTTTCTCTGGCTCAAAACCACATTTTTCTATCCCAGCCTATCAAATACACACATGGTTATTGACTGGGACCAATTTCAAAGAGTCTCTTTCATGTCTGTGGGAAGTAGAACTGTTTTATTCTTTCCTTACACATTCAGAGGTATCAAGCTGAGTAGGTACTCATGTCTGAATTAATTAATATCCTGTAAGAAATGGACACATCTACATGTTTTAGGTCACAGGTTGCAATCAACACAGGATAGTTACCGTCATAGAATCCTGACATGGCCATTGCAGCACAACACATTTAAATAATGTCTCTAAGTAAGCAGCTCTGTTATAACACTAAAGACAAGGAGATAACACAAGTAAATGGTTATGGATTTTGAAAACTCTGGTCCCTTGCCTAACCTACCACATTTTTTCTCCCAGTTTCTTTTATATTCTTTGCTCAGTAGGAAAGAGGGATCCATTATTGTCGCTTTTTTTTTAATTACTTTTGGAAAGTATGAAACAAAACATTTGTAGAGTCGAGTCTGTTGTTAGGTGCTTTAGCATTATTTCTGACTTTATAACAACAGAATGCAACACTGTCTGGTCCACTGTGCCATCCTCACAATGGTTATGTTTGGGCTCAGTGTTGTAGCCACTATGTCAATCTATCTCATTGAGGGTCTTCCCTGCCCCACCCCCACCCCCACTGCCCTTCACTTTAGCAAACCTGACATTCTCCTCTAGGGACTGATCTCACCTGACAAACATGCCCTAAGCATGTAAGAAGTCATTCCCCATTCTTACTTCTAAGGAGCATTCTAGATGTCTCTCTTCCAAGACAGATTGGTTTGTTCTTCTTGAAACCAGATCATAGAAGTTCAAAACTCTTACCAACACCATACTTCAAAGGCATCAGTTCTTTGATCCTTATTCACTGTCTCACTTTCACACACATATGAGGTTACTGAAGACAGTATGACTTAGGTCAGTTGAAACCCAATACTTAGAGTGGTATCTGAGATCTTGTGGGCTGGGGAGGGGTGGATAACAAAAACGGGAAAGATCTGACGGGGATCTGGAGAGACAGGGACACAGTTCAATGATGATAAATTTTATAAAACATAATGATTGTATAAAACACAATGTATATAAACTTTGTAAGTAAATCTATATAAAAAAATTTAAAAAGATCTCTTCATGGCAGATTTGCCCCATACAATACGTAGCTTGATTTCCTGACTATGGCTTTCATGGGAATTTATTGTGGACTCAAAGTAAAATAAAATCTCTGATCACTTCAATCTTTCCTTCATTTAACGGTGACACTGGTTATTGGTCCGTTTGTGGAGAGTTTTCATTCTCTTTATGTGGAGGTATAGTCCATACTGAAGTCTTTGATCTGCATGCGTAAGCACTTCAGGGGTAGATTTCCATGTTCTACATCAGGCAGCCGAGCTCCAACTTGAGGGGACTTACTCTGAAATGGAATTCTGGAGTCGTCAGAAACCTCTGGGTCATCCAGTTCAACTGTCCACCCATTTGATTAGTAAGTTCTTTATCTAAAATCCTCTAGTCAACCCTTGATTGTTTTCAGTGATGGAACTTCAGCTCTCCAAAGTAGCTCATCCTATTGCTGGAAAACTGGAATCATATGCAATATGTGTTCTGATGATTAAATAACTCAAATGCCTCTAACTTCTAGCCTTGAGCTCTAGTTTAGTTTAATGGAGTTGTACAGTAAGTCTAATTCTTATATCTGTTGGACTTCTAGACTATCCTGACCCTCCATCCAATCCATTTCCTTGATCTTCACTTCTTCAATTCTGTGACAGCTTGATACGTTACAGTTTCCAAACTGCTCATTATGTGGGTTTAAGAAAGGCGTTCTTAAAAATGCCTACAAAGCTAAACAAAATATTCTAAACATATCAAAATGGACTCCAATGGCTGTATTGACTCTTTCTCCTAATTTTAGATCTAATATCCAAATTAAGAAAGAAAAATAAAATTTTAATATCAACGAGTGATATAAGTCCTCATAGCACTCTCATGAGGTAAAAATTACTGGAAGCTCATTAAGTCTTTTGCTCATGGTCACAAAACAAATGAGTAGGAAGGCGGAGATTCAACTTGAAGTGAGGTTGATTGCAAGACATCAAAAATATGTGACTTGAAAAATAAAAATTTAATATAAGATGAGAAATTCACCTCCTTATCTTTCTAATTCTCCCATGTCGCAAAGACAGACTCTTGATATCTCAGTAACCAAATAGCATAGGTCTCCTAAGATGTTCAGTTCTTCCAGGGGATATGGGAACCCTCTGACCAAGAAGAAAACAGTTAACTATTGATTTTGCCCTAGAAGAATGTTCTTAAGTAGCTAGATCTGGTCCACTACAAAGATGAAGTTAGCTTGTTCAGCTCCACAATCAACACTCTTGGCACCAGTAGTCAGGAAATCAAAAGACAAATTGCATTAGGAAAATATGCTGTCAGGGACCTCTCCAGAGTGCTAAAAAACAGGCAGTCTCAGGCCACTGTCTTCATAATTACTTGCTATGCATCAGAAAGCTGGACAGTGACTAAAGATGATAAAAAAGAATTGATGGTTTTGAGTTGTGGTGCTGGAGAAGAGCACTGAACAGACCATGGACCGCCAAGAAAACAATTAGGTCTGTCTTGGAGAGGGTAAAACCAAGTTTCTCCTTGGAGGCTAGGATTCTGAAGCTCTGTCTCACATATTTTGGGCACATGGCCAGGAGAGACCAATCCTTGGAGATGGATATCATGCTTGGAAGGGTGGAGGAACAGCACAGGAAAGGAAGACCCTGGATAAGATGGATTGATACAGTAACTCGGGCAATGGAGGTAGGTGTGTTGGAGTCAGTGAGTCTGGTTCAGAACAGGGCAGGCCTCAGAGCTGTTGTATGTAGGGCCACTATGAGGTGCAGGCAACTCCACAGCACATTACACCAACAATAGTATAGTCAGCTTCCTAGACTGTCTCTGCAGTGTCTTTGAGAAACAGCCACACAACTGGATTTGTGAGTGTGATGGGATGTATGTATGTATGTGCTGTACAGGGGCGGGGGCAGGATGGCATATATCAAAAGGAATTAGAAAGCATGCCCTCTTGGAAGACTTAACTTTGTAAAAAGGCGGCACTCTCTTTAAATGCCTACCAAATGAGCTTTGTATTTAAAAAAAAAAAGACTGAAAAAAATTCTTCCTTTCATCTTACCTATAGCTTTCCTTCTGTAAATCAAGTTATTTCATTGACCTGATTTTAGAAATGCACACATTTGTAAAAATCCATTCAAAACTAGCTTTACAGTTAGAACAATGAGTGGTCTGGGAGAAGAATGAGGGCTTGAGGGGGTGATGAAGAACCCAAGGGACAATGTTCCTTCTCCAGAAGATGGGAGTGAGGAGAACAAGAAGGCAGCTCACCTGGTCAAGCAGCATCACTGAGGACTTGATGATTTCCCTCCACTTCTGGAGCTCAGTATCGTGGTACTTTTGTTGGGACTCTAAGAGCTGGGCCCATTCTGTCTGGGACTGAGGTAACCTGTGGGGCAGAAGAAGGGGCACCCTAGCAGCTGGAGTTATGCTCGGTGGACTGTCCTGTGCTCCCAGACCCCTAAAGGACAGAGAGTCACATCAGAGCGCTGAGCCCTCTTCTCCCTGCTCCTGGCTCCCTGTGTGCCAAATCAGAAATGGACTGAAACCATAGTGTAAGCTCCCCCAGAGCTCATCAATCGGCTCATCCCAAAGGGCCATTCCCTGGGCAAGGGTGGTAGAGCGACCTCGAGGGGGCTTGGAGGAGGGAGCCAGAGCACAGAATGGGGGTGCAAGTAGAACAAGGGCAAGAAGCCAAGATTACCTTTCTTGGAGCCTCAGACCCTGCCAGGCAGTGAGGGTCTGGGTGGTGTATTCCAACATCCAGAGCTTGTAGAAGAGCATCATGTTAAGGACGACCAGCAGCACCAAACTAGGAAGGAAGCGAGGGAACAGCAATGAGAGGTGGCCTGGGAAAGCCTTGAAGAGCCATCCAAGTCTCTACCCCAGAGGCTCCTGTCCCTGACTGCTAGGCCGTTGGAAGCATTGCAGTGCCCGAGTCATACAGGGGAGGCCCTGAGCAGGAAGAAGGGAGAGGGACAGAGAGAGAAGCACTCTATCAGGAGGGGCCAGGACGCAGCAGGGAAGTCATGGACAGGTATGTGGGGAGAGGGAGCTGGAGAGGAGACACACACAGGAGATACCCAGAATCTGGGCCGCTGGGGGAGAGAGAGGCAAGACAGAAAGGGAAAAAGATGGGGGGAGGGTAAAAGAATTCATAGAGCCAGTACCTGCAACAGATCCTAGTGGGAGCGAGGAAGAAAAACGGGGGAGGAGGCAGAGATTAGAAACAAACGAGTGTGGAGAAGGGAGCAAACCGCTGCCAAGGTAAGGCAGACACAGGTGAGAATGTACGAGATAAAGGCCCGGAGGTCCAGAAGCCACGGGTGAGGAGGCGCGGGAGGGGAGGAGAAGGAAAATGCAGCCATAAGCTCATCTTACTCTTGGTGTTTCATGGGGGCTGAGGCTACAGAAGAGTTCTCCCACCAACCTAACTTGAGGACACAACTGAAAACGACCCAGTGGACACCCTGCTTGGCCCTGATGTGAGCAGAGCTTGAAAACGGCGGCATCCCTCTCTCTGGCACCTCCCGCTGCTTTACAGGGGCAAACGGAGTGGCTGGCGTCTCCCACAGCCTGCCCTTGAGCAGGGTGGAGAAGGGGGCACAAGGTCACTGGGGGCTGGGAAACTCAGTGAGGAAAGACATGCACTGAAAGGCTAGGGACAGTCTCACCTTCTCCTGGCCTCAATGGTTCAGCTGAAAGGTCATTTTATGACAGAAGTGGACGGGATGGAGGGACAAGGACTCGGGCCCAGAACTACACAGAACTGAAATCGTGATTCAACAGTTAAAACCTCAATATTTGATCAGATTTGTTCACTTCTCTAAAACCTAGCTTTTCCAATGGGGACAAGACGACCTACCTATTGAAGCTGTTGCATGATTAAAAAAGTCTGTGTGCCTGCCCCACAACAGGCAGTTATTAAAGGAAGAGATACAGACATGCATCAGAAAAATGACAAAAATGGGACAAGAAAACCAATGGATGGGAAAAAGATCAGCAAAAAAGAAAAAGTATTCACTGTGCCTTGGCTGTCTACTATTCCCCCTACTTGTGCATCTGGCACTATGATAAGGCAGAATTCCTTAAACTGGCAGCTGAAAAGCCCCAGGGCTCCTCAGCTGTGTTCTCAGGGGTCTCTAAGTTCTTCATTGGAACAGTTAAAGTGTGTACAGAATTTCTAGGATGCTATCTTTAATCATATAAGCACCCGTCTACACACGTGAATAGCCTTGACAGCTGAGCACCAGGCACCTGAAGTGCTCTAGTTTACTCTCGAATCCCAGACCAGCCTTCACGGAAACATTTTCAGCAAGGCACAGGCAGGGGACACAGCCCTTCTCTCCTCTGGCACATCCTCCATCCACAGAAGCAAAGAGGCTGGGTGTGGGCAATGGCACTGACAGGACACTTGGTTGGCCCTAGAAAAGAGCTATCTGTACTCAGATGAAAATGGTTCCCCAAATGAGATGAGAAGCGCCAAGCAAGCTACAGCATGGACTTACACCCATGGAGATACACCAGGGCCCTGTGTCCTCCCGGCTCACACTGCTTGCTCTTTTAACTACCTCTCTTCCTAGCCTAACACAGCACTGGACGTTCCATTTTGTGATGGTATCACAATGAGTCTGCACTTGGTCCTGTATTGCAGTCACTGGTTTGTGTCTGCCCACTTACCGAGCAGGGGCTCTGTGAGTACACAGTGCATACCCTGGAACTCTCCTTGAGGAGCAAATTCCTAACGTGCTCTGCAGCATCTCCACTCTAGTCTCTCTCCCACTGTGCTGTCATTTCACATTTCCTATCTGTCTCACCCAGGGCATGGACACAGCAGCATTTTTCCTCTGAATTCTAAGGCCTGGCAGACAGTGACTATGGCGGAGAAGAAGTTACAGGGAAGCAGAGAGAGAGGTCACGCATAGCCGCATCTGATCTGAGAAGGCGGATGGAGCCCAGGAACAAGAAGGGTGGCGATAAGCAGCGTTGGGGGTGGGAGGAGAGTCTGGAGTCCTTACACACAGCTGATAACCAGCAGCAGCTTGGACACACTCTGCAGGTGAAAACCGCTTGGAGTGTCCTCAGGGATGTGCCGTGTCTGCGTGGAACCTGTGGGGAGAGCAGAGACGCCATCACCACTGCGGTCTATGAGTCCACAACTACTGAGACAACAGTGGCCACAGAGAATATCAGGAAATGACCAAGACATTGCCCTTGATATTGTCACTGTGACACCCACAAACCCTCCAAAAAGAGAAGGCAAGCTCCTTAAGAACAAAGCAAGGTGGACATTAAGGAGTCATTGAATGAAAGAAGCCAACAAATCTGTGTAGCTAGGACACACACATGCTATGGTTATGCACTAGGATTGGACGAGTGAGTAAGCACAGCTCTCAGCTATGTGATGCTTAATCGCTTTACCTTTCCAAGAGCCCGTATTCCCTTGTTTGTGAAAAAGGGGCTGGCTGGAACCCTGTATTCAAATCATTTGGAAACACCAACCATGTTGGTGCTCAGGTTGAAGTTAGGTAAGGACCAAAGAAGCTGGCACTCCCTCCAGCCCATTCCTATCTGGCTCAAAGGAGCCCCAGGGACATGCAGAGCCCCGTTTGAAAAAACTGCATTCACTGCATTCAAGTGAGCTCTGGTCTACAGAGCTGAGGTACTAACCCAAATACCCTGCATCTCCAGTGACTCAAAGGCACTAGCGGCTCCGTGGGGAAAAGATGGGCAGTCTCTCATTGTGAATCAGAGTCTCAGAAACCCAAAGGATGGTCAGTAGGAGTGGAGACCAACTTGATTTGATGGTAGTGAGTTTTAAGACAGCCTCCATGACTGATCTTAGACACTGCTAAGACAACATGTTTATACCTCACACAAAGCAGGAGGCTGTGATGCACTGGATATGGTGCAAAAGCACAGCAAGGAATCCATTGAGTGACAGCCCTATTGGGATGAGGTGGTGGGGCTACCATGGCCCTCCTGATCTTTGTGAGGGAGGCAGTATCTGAGGTCTGGGCTTAGACCTTCCCTGGTGCATTTCCCCAGAACCCAGAAGGTGCTGTTGGTGTGTATAACACGGAGGAGGTAGAAACCCAAAGGTGTGTAATCAGAGCATATGGGTCCAGAAGCAGCTGGGGACCCTAAAGATTGAGGAGAGAAGGACTCAGTAGGAGATTTAATAAGCCATGTGCAAGTTAAACACAAACCACACCTAAGGTATAGAATGAGTGTGCATGTGTGTGTCCTGGCATAGGTATGACATTCCTGGCCTGCCCCCACCTGGCACACACCTGCCACATGTTTGATCCTGTGGCCCACTTCTTCATCAGTGGGGGTGGTAACAGGGCTCATCACCTCTTCCAGGTGAGGTACCCGCAGGTGGGCATGGGGACGCTTCCTCCTCCGCACAGTTGGGGGCTTGCTGGCCTTCTCCTTGGGGGACTGTCTGTGCATCTCGGCCAGGTAGGCGCTTTCTGTTTTGGTCAGCTCACTCTCTGTTGGAGCCAAGAGGGTCATGTCAGAGGCCATCTTCTTATACCCACAGCCCACACGGCACTGGCCTTCACAGGTAGCATTTTCTGTTTCCACCAGTAGGGGCATCATATTCTCCCACAGTGATGTGGGAAATTGGCCTCAGGTACGCCACGAAGTCCTGGGACTCAGCCCAGCCCCTTCTCTGCATTGTTAAACATTGCAGAGTTCCACGTCCCCAGATCTGCACCTTGGCACATATAGTTTGGAACACCCAACACATTTTGTAACAGATGCATTAATCAGTTAGCCCGTGTGATTCTTTACTTCTCTGAAAGCCCTTATTCTCTTGTGTATGACAAGCTATTTCATAAGATTCTTCTTATAATAGATTCAATACCACCAGCTCACTGGACCTGAGGCTGTTAAGCGTTTGTGTGTTCTCTTTGTGTGGGGATACGGAGAGCTCACAGGTCCTCAATAATGTTTTTTAAAAGCTATAAGACATAGTCTCTAGAAAAATGTACATGTTTTTACATAACTCAAATTTTCTATCAATTTCTGGGAAAAACTTAAGAGATTCATGAAACCAACTGAGGTCTCGGTGACCCACCACCCTCCTTGTCACCCACTGCTCTTGACCAGCAGTGACAGGTGCAGAACCCACCTAAATGGCGGAAGTAGTCCTCTAGCCCACTCCAGAAGTTCTTCTCGATGAACGTCTTCACTAGCCCCCAGGGCTGTTTTCGGTAGCGTAGCTCTGTGGAGACCCTGAGGAGCAAGCAAGAAGGAAGATCATTCCTTTTCTGGGTAGACCCTCTTCTGATGAGGAGAAATTTGGGCTTAAGGCCAAAATGCCTTCCTATCCATACAGCCCTTTGTAGGATAAAATTTTTTCCCCCTCATTCATACTGTCTATCTCCTGGGCTTCCCTTTGAGGTTGGTGGAGCTAGAGTTTATATCCATTTTATTGGAAACAGGTTTATAATATTTCAACAGTTCAAAGACTAACAGTCAGGGCTTATGATGCCAAGAGTCTCCTCATGGCACCACACTACCTCCTCTCTGGTATGGATGGTCTTGAACTTCGTGGTGGTCGAAGCAGCGTGCCACCCAGGCAAGGGAAGGCTCTGGTAAAGTCTGAACACTGATGCTAAGAGCGATCATATGGCCTTTGACAGGGACCTGCTTTCCTTCTGCAGAGACATTCAGCCTGAACCAGGATTTAGGGTTTCATTGCCTTTGCATTTAGGAATATCTCATGCTGTCTCTATTCTGGCTCTTGCCTTTCCACTGTCCCCATAACCTGCCAAATGTACTCTCTCTCTCAGTCACTGGTCTCTCCACCCCCTTGCAGTCCCAGCACCTTCTTCTCTGCCACAGAAGGTCTCCCTTCTCTACCTCTGCCTTACGTCCCTTTGCACCGGACGTGTAATTTATGCTCCCATGACGAGGCTGCCTGCTCTGCCCTCACCCCATGGACTTCATTGTGAGGATGCTGATATTTGGAGACACCTCTCTTCTCCACCCAAAACCTGGACTATGAGTGGGCTCTTGCTCTCAAGGGTCTAAGGTCAACTAGCTATTTAGATGAGGTGTAGACAGAAAAATTAAGCAACTGGAAGAATCCTCTAGGGATCTGGAATGGAGAGACCTAGGAAATTTCCTAGACCTAAATTTCCTAGGAAAAAAATAATGCAGGAAAGGGTAGGGGATATAAGACAAGTAGAAAGAAAGAAGGGGATTCATGATTCCTAAGAAATCTCTCTGTAACCTTTCAGTAAACTCCTACTTTACTTGAACAACTTGAATCTATTCCTTCTTACAGCCCAAAGACCCTGATCCAAGATACAGGAATGCACTATGATTCTTCTCAAATGGATGTGTATTGTTTACTTTTCAATCGGACTTGTTCATTGTGGGATCAGGGTCTAAATTTCTTCCTTCCTTGGATGTGTGTCTCGGCCTCAGACAAGATTCTACCAGCAGCAGCATTATCATGATATATTCCATGAGCACTGCATGTGGGCCTGGTGCTGGGGGCTGGGAACAGAGCAGAGCATGAACAGGAGGATGAATTTGACTCCTGCCCCAAATGAGCCTGAGTCAAACCAGAGCACAAATAGCAAACGGCAGGACAGTGCGGCACGCCGGAAGGTCACAGGTGCACATTGCTACATACATCCTGGTTTCAGAATTACTAGAAGTGGGATTCTGGCAGTTCTTAACTTGTATGAGCCCCAGTTTTTTTGTTTGTTTTTTTTTTTTTACCTGAAAAATGAGGATAAAGCCACTGCACTAAAGTCACTGCAAAGATTCCAGTTAACACAGGTAAAGCACCTACGCAGAATTTTTAAAACCACAATCAGTAAGCAGCAGAAGTTACAGGAATTGTATCAAGAGATGCACAGTTAAAAAAGGAATATAAGGCGCTATGTTAGGATGAGGAAGTGGGGGCGTCTCTGAGGCTGTATAGAGAAAGCGGAATAAAGAATGAGTCAGCCAGCAGAATACCCCCAGGCCTCTTCTTCCCACAGGAGATGAATGCTGTCCATCCAGCATCTCGCAGCTTGCCTGGCACTGGGAGCATCCACTGCACCCCCGCAAGCCCTCAGACGCCTCACCTGAGCCGACTCTTGTTCCGAGCCACGCGTGTCAGAGTGTAGCGGTTAATGGTGTAGAAGTAGTCATGGTAGGGCACGTCGTGGGTGAGCACTTCCGCGTCAATCACATAGCACTCGCTCTCCTGGCTCGCCTTATACATCGTCTGTGGGGAAGAAAAGGCCCGGACACACTGGAGATGTGACAAAGGAAAACCATCTCCTCCTCCAACTTCCTCTGCCCTCCAGCCACCCCACAACTTCTGACCCAGAGACACTGGACCACTGGACACAGCAACACTGCAACACCAAACTGCATCTGCTTGTGGAGACTTCTTGCTAGCCTCTATCCTTAACCCTTCACAGCAGAGGAGAGGAATTCCCGGTCTGTCCTCAGTGTCCCTGCCTTCAACTCACCTGTGTCTCCCGGACAGTGGCAGTTTTGGGAGCGAGCGGGTTGGTAAGGGTGATGGTATAAAGAATTACTCGGCTCTGATTTCCATTCTCCTCCTTTTTCCATGGGTGGAAGATAATACCTGCAGATACAGGGGAGCCCTAGAATGAGGGGGAGAAGGAAGTACCCCTTCCCCGTGTGAATTTTCCCTTCAAGTGACCTTCTCTTGACTGTTCTGACTGCTGACTGGCCCTCAAAAGGAAGCCAATGAGAGCCCCGGGGCTAGGGGCGGGGCAGTGGAAAGCAACTTCATCTCTTGAAGGAGTGAAGGAGGGGCGGGGGTGGGGTAGGAGAAGGGGGAGTCAGAGCAGAAAGAGGCTCATTGTAGCATTGCCGAAATTCTACACAGGTCTTCAGAATGCTGATTGTCCAAGGCAGGGCAGGAGGTCTCAGGGTCACCTACAGGCTGTGGCAACACTGGAGTCAGTGTGACGAGGCCCTGCCATCTCTTGGAAACAAGCCCTCTCCTTAAAGGCGTGACCTCCCTGTGCCCTCGGTGTGTCCTCTCCTCTGGGCACAGGGGCACCCATTCTCACAGAGCAGCCTGCACAATGGTTCTGTCAGGTCACACCATGGTGAGGGGCGGGAGGCACGCAGACGGTACGAGTGTGAACGCCTCTGGCTCAGCCCCTTCTGGGCTGCAGGACCCTGGACAAGTAAGAATAGTGGCTCTGAGCTTCAGTGTCCTCACTGGTTCCCTGGGATCACACTACCTACCACATCGGGCAATAGTGAAAAGTCAATGAGATGTAACAGACTTGGCATTGCATTGCTAAGCCAAAAGTCACACTTCTCCGACAGTTCAAATCTCCCAGGGGCTCCGAGGGAGAAGGAGGAACAGTTTCCTTCTGTGTGGTCTGCAGTCCCGGAAACCTGCTGGAGGGTCAGCAATGAGTTGGTTCTAACTGGATGGCGATGACAGTGAGCCCTGGTAGGTGAGGGGGCATTGGTGATTCAGTGGTAGAATTCTCACCATCTGTGTGGGAGACCTGAGTACGATTAATCATCACAGTACACAGCTGCCACCGGCTGTTAAGTACAGGCGTCAGTGCTGCTCTAATTAATGCTGAACAAGTTTCCACAAAGCTTCTAAACCTGGAAGGCCTGGCGGTCTCCTTCCGATAATCAGCCAATGAACACGTTATGAATCACAAGAATCCAGTCTGCTACGATCGTGGGGACGGCTGAAGGGCAGCAGCATTTTGTTCCGTTGTGCCTACCTGGTGGCAGCTAAAGAGCAAAAACTAGTAGGTAGTGGCTGCTCTTCTTTATTAGCTGGAGGTCTCGGTAACACCAGGACCTTGGTCACTGCTAAGTCAGTCTCTGCGCCCTGGCGATGAATGCCTGGGACAGAGGAGACAAGCAGTAAAGCTGCTGCGTTTGCAGAGGAGTCAGCAGTGCCCTGTGAGGCTCAAGCCCTAGGAAAGGCCTAAGAAAGGAGGTCTGCCGCCAGCAAAGGGCTTGGAAAGAGGATGGCTGAGAAGAAGGGGACGAAGGGAAGAGGGGAGGGCAGAGTGGGAAGGGGCAGGAGGGGACAGTTCCAGGCCCAGAGCACGAACCAGAGAAACGTCGCTGCTCCATGAAGTCCCTTTGGAAGGGCGAGTCAGTGAAGAGGAGGTCATAGAGCTTGTCCACGCTGAAGTTGAAGACTTCATTCACATACTGCCGGCCGCTCAGGTCCTCGTAAAAGGCCTGGACCTCGCCTGCAGGGAGAGAGAGAACAAGGAAGGAGGAGAGTGGAGTCATCCTCCAGAAGACGTCTGCCTTGGTGGCTGATGTGGAACAACAGCCACGGGCAGGACAGGGCTGTGCTTAGGTTCCAGGGTACTGCTCCTCATGACTTTGCTCCATGCTGTTTCCTCCCCAGGGAGGAACACTGTTCACTCTCCCTTTCTAAAGAGCCTGGGGATGCAGCATCTTCTGGACTTTCCAACCCTTGCAAAAAAGTGAACCAGAAGTCAAATAAATGATTGAATCCTCAATATGATTGAATTCAAAACGTCAAGAGTCTTAGCCTTCATTGACAACAATGGCACAGATGTCTCAGAAAGAGTTGACTAATCTGTAACACTGTTCATATCAAAGCTTCTAGAGGTGGTAGGATATGTCCATAAAAGCTCAAGTCCTTTCCCTTCAATAAGGCAGTCTACCACCCTCTTCATCTCAACAGACTTTACATTTCTGAATAGTTTTGTCTTTTGCAGGAGAATCTGACTTAGCGGTGTGCTACACCCAATGCTCCTTCCCAGGGCTCAGCACCCCACAGCCCCATTACTGTCCCTGAATGGGTGAGTATATGGTCTCAAGCAGTACCATGGCACTTGCAGGGCTAGTTCGTGCCCATGATTGACAAGCGGGGCCTTGCATGATGGCAGTCAGGGGAATGGTCTCAGCTGAGTTTCTGTGAAAGGGATTCCCTGTTATGCAGCACCACGCTGTACAATGATTTACACATATGAAAAGTTTCTATCAATAGGTTATGGTCTTTGCAATTACTTGGTATGCATCAGAAAGCTGCATAATGCCTAGGGATTACAGAAGAAGTTGTGGTGCTGGAGAAAAGTACTGAATAGACCATAGATTGACAGAAGAACAAACAGGTTCATCTTTGAGAGGGTGAAACCAGGGTGCTCCGTCAAGGCGAGGATTCTGAAGTGTCATCTGACATACTTTGGGCATGTTACAAAGAGGGACCAGTCCTTGGAGGACATCATGCTTGGGAGGGTGCAGGGACAGTGCAAGAGAGGAAGATCCTTGATGAGATGGATTGACTCAGTGACTGGGGTAATGAGGTTAGGTGTGTCAAAGACAATAAGGTTGGCTCAGGACAGAGCAAGGTTCATAGTGGTTGTACACAGAGTGACTATGAATCGCAAGTGACTCATAACATGAGTGTTGCAAGCACATAACAGCAACAACAATACTATCAACAGGTGAACATTTAGTGATAAGACTAGATGGTAGGACAAAGTATTAGCTTTGTCCAGACAATAAATACAGACTGATGAGGATTCCTGTATCTTGAAATATACAATGAAATGTACATTTTCTAAAAATCTGTTACCCACTCTCCCACCAAGAACCTAGTGACAAATCTCCACATAGAGATACCTTTTAGACTTCAAATGCAGAGAGAAAAGGCCACTGTATGTCCATTGACAAAAGCTTACCCTCATCATGGGTGTCGGAAGAGTCACTGAGCTCGGTGGGGATGTCCTCATTGTCATTGAAGTCCAACGAAGGGGAGGTCACGGGCGCGAGGATCTCAATCTTCTCCCCCATGATGTTGTCAATGGCCAGCTCCTTCTCCAGGGACCCTTCTTCCTCCAGCACCTCCTCCTCCAGGGGAAGGCCATCAAACTGGTGTGGAGACAGAGGATCAGGGCAACATGATTCTGGATCTAATCCCCAAAGGAAAACTACAGAGGACTAGGCCTTAGAAAACACATTCAGCTGTGGGGCCAGAAGCCAGCACTGCTATGGAAGAAGCGAGAAGAAGGTACGTGGCAGTACCCTTCTCACGCTCACCATTCAAACGGCACACCAAGGCTCACTGGTGGACATTTAGCTTCCTCAGTCACACGTCTATCCAGAATCTCACATGAATACCATGCTGTACTCAGTCAGCCTGCCACTAAATAGTACTTTCTTTTCCTAAAAAAACCTCAAAAGCCTTCAGAAGCATTTTTTTTGGTTCACAGGGAACTACGGTGGCTTAGTGGTAAGGAGTTGTGCTGGCAACTCAAAGGAATGCGGTTTGAATCCTCCAGCTGCTCTGCAGGAGAAAGATGGGCAATCTCCTCTCGTGTGATTTACTGCCTCAGAAGACCGTCCGGAGAGTCAGCTATGATTAGCTCAGGAAGACTGGGATTCCAGTCAGGAAGACTGGGCTAATCGCAACTGGACTGAAGAAATACAATTCTTCAGTTAATCTCAGAAGCATAAAATGGAACTGGGAAGGAAAGGAATGTTTTCATTCTGAGTTCAGGCGGTCTGACCCTGAAGGCAAGGCTGCCTTTTTGGGGACTTTCTTTCTGAAAACCCCCCTATTCTTCCATGCCCTACTTTATTCATGACATTCTATCCCCTTTACAAGAAAGTTCCAGAGGAGCAAGTTTCTTTCTGCATATTTTATGTCTTCCAAAAACTCTAGTACAGCGGGAAAAGAAATCATAATATATATGCTAGGAACTCAATAACTGTTCATTAAATGAGTGGATTGATATGCAGTATCTCATTCTACAGTCCTATTTTACAGGACAATTTTAAGTTTCATTCTCATATCGACTGCTTTTATGCTGATTCCAACTCAGTAACCCCACGGGACAGAGAAGAAATGACCCCAGCGGGTTTCCAAGGCTGTAAATCTTAACAGAAGCAGATTGTTATATCTTGTTCTGTGGAGTGGCTGGCTGGGCCAAGTTAACAACTGTTTGGTTTGCAGCTGAGCGCTTTAACCACCGTACCACCACAGCCCCTCAGTGTTTGCTTGAGGAGGTTAAACAAAGACAAGTGAAACAGTATTCTATTAATGGGATATGTGTCAATTTGGTTAGGGTATAGTGTCCAGTTTGGTCAAAGACAGGTGCTGAAAGGAAGTAGTACCATGTGATTAAATCAGTGACCTTAAGTAAAACAGATTATTGTTAATGTTGTTGTGTATCATAGAGTCGGAACGACCCATAGCTGACCCTCCAGCAGTTTTTCAGAGGCAGTTAATTGGAGGAGACTGCCTATCCTTCTCCCACCAAGCAGCTCGTGGCCTCGAACTGAGAAACTTTGGGATTGCAGCACAGCTTCTCACCACTGGGCCAGCAGAGATAATCTTCCATAATATTAGTGGGCCTTGTCCAATAAGGAAAAGGTCTTAAAAACAAAAAGTTTTCTGTAGAGCTCATTGTGCCTCTACACTAGAAATATTTTGCCAACACTCCTCTACTCATCGTGTTTCTCAACACCTGACCTAGGGATTCGGGACTGCAAACCTGCAGGAATATCCAGCTGCTTCTTTGAGCTATGGACTTTGGACTCATCAGCCCCCACAACTCTGTGAGTCACCTAACTCCTGAAAATTAATCAATCAACCCCCCCTCTCTCTCTTTGTGTTGTTATCTTGTGCCATCAAGCTGACTCATGACAACCCTTTGTGTTCCACAATGGAATTGCTCTGCGGAATTTTCTTGGCTGTAATCTTCATGAAGGCTGACAGCTTCTTCTGTGGTGCCAGTAGTTGGGCTGGAACTGCCAACCTCCTGGTTACCAGTGGAGTGCAAACCGTGTGTATCACCCAGACACTTCACAGATAAATAGCTTATTGGTTCTGTCTCCCTAAGATGGGAGCTGATTTGGAGCACCCATCAAGAGTTCGACACAGTGGACTTGGCTCAGGAATTCTGAGTATACCACTGAACTCTAGATCTCTTCTACACACTAGGTCAAGAATGGACACAGGCAAAATAAAGAAAGGAACATGGGAAGTGGCTTACGGTGGGCCCATAAGCACAAAAGGCATGAAGAGCAAGGTGAAGGGAGCAGCTCTCTAGAATGCTTTCCAAACTCTCAGAATTCAAACAAAATCTTGCATACCAGGCACTTAGAACCCACCTCTGGACCCTAAGACCCCATTACTAGAAGGCAGGGAGCCCCATGTGCCCCAAGATGCCTTCGTTACTAACTTCAACGTAACAGCACAGCCTCTGCCCACTTCTCAAAAGGTAACTGCAAACAAAGGGCTGCTGTCCGTACCGAGACCGGAGCTTCACTGCTCCCGGTGGAGGTCAGGGTGCTGTTGGTGATGGACTTCTTGGGCAGCTGTGGGCTGGCGTCCGGCTTGGTTTCGATGCTGCTTTTGGATGAGCTGTCATTTACTTCATTCTCTTCTACAGGGATCTCCTCACAATAGCTGAAGGTTAGCAGGGTGGTGGGAGAGAAGACACCCGTGAACCACTTACTCAGTGGGTAAGACCACCAGCAATTCTAAGAACCCCAGACGTGTCTATTCATACCAAACTAGGGGCTGTCCTGCTGCTTTGCTTCATACACCGTCTTGCTGTTATAAAAGAAATGTTCCTTTCTCTTTTCCACCCTGAATTCTCCTCCCAGACACCACTTTTCAAAAAAAAGTCTAGCTCTAGACTCACCTGTTTTAGGCACTTTCCTGGGATTTATCTCCACACCTGACTATGACCATTACATACACCAGTTTCTGTCAATCAATTTCCACTCACGGTGACCCCACATGTACCAGAGTAGTAAAAGGGTAGAACGCTTGATGGTTCTCAAGGGGCTCCTTACAATTACTGCCTATTTCCCCCTGTACTGTTGCCCATTGGCCCCTCACCATTCGTATTAGTCATTTGGGCTCTGATCATACAATTCTATTTCCCACACCAACATTAGGACAGGACTCCGAACATCTAGCTATATGCCTTGGTAGCGTTGCCCACATTCATAATTAGTTAATGTCTCTGCCTTGTACACCTGAGGGAAACCCTCCCTTGAAATGAAAGTGGATGCACTTCAGGAATGCCAAGGTATGGTCTCCAAGGCAACAATGACCTTTATCGTCACTGCCATTAAAAGCAGTATCTCACATTTTACTCTTATCACTTATTTCCGCATCCAATTCAACACAACTATGAGTCAATCATTACGTGTATTTAAAGCATAATAAAATGGAGAGTCATCGAAGTTAAGGGATACAATTACTACGGTGGTGTTAGGTACTGTTGAGTTGGAACTGATTCATGGCTGACCCTCCAGCGGGTTATCAGAGGCAATAAATCTTGAGGAAGGAGATTGTCCATCTTTCTCTTGAGAAGCAGCTGGTGGAACTGCATATCTTTGGGGAGGCAGCATGACTCCTTACTGCTAAGCATCAGGATTCATAGAGAAGGCCACGTCTGCTTACTTTGTAGCCAGTGCTCTTTGTTTGCTTTCTACAGTTCTGTGCTTTTGATAGTAGTGTCACTGCTTCAGGATAGGAAACTTTCTGAGCAGTCCTGCCTCACCAGATGTTTTCGCCCCTTCTTCCTCGCCCTGGAGAGCCTATATCCAGTTCTTGCTCTTCCTGTCATTTTCACGCAGTCACTTGTAGATTTCAGCCAATCTTATAGCCACTAAAACTCTCAGGCTTACATCTCCAGCCTGTATTTCTCCCCTTCACTCCACATTCATGCTCAATGGCATAATTTAACTTCTCTTGGTTGTCCAAAAGTCATCTCCATCTGAATTTGCCCAAAACCAAGCTCCTGATCTTTTCAGACAACCTCCTCTGCCTATATTGTCTTTCTCAAATGGAAATAATTCCATTCTTCTAGAGGGAGAAATGTCAAACTCTCTGAGTGGCATCCACTTCCTAAATAACATGCCTCCGGAAACTCTATGAACTTTAATAAATGTCGATGGTTGTAGAGGGGCTTCAGGCCTTTCGTTCATAGGGTGTTCCTAAGTGTCATGCTCAACTTGAAGGCAATCAACAACAACAACAACATTTTAATTATCTGTTTAAAGTTTTCCCTTGAATTTCATCTCACTCTGATTAAGATTCAGTTGTCACTTTGACTCATTTCTTTATGATTACAATTCAGTCATCATTCGGCTAGGAGAGCCTCAGACCCTCTATCTCCTCTCACTGTTCCTTCTGCCTGTGCACACTGGTATGCTTGCCTGGAATGAGCTCCCTAAAGGTATTCCCATCCATTACTTTCTTTCAGTCTTTACTTAAATGCAATCATCCTCTGAGGACTTCCCTGCAATCTTGCCACTTCATCAGGGGGTCCTCACGTGAGGACTCCCAATTCCCTGGGCAGCTTGCCCTCAGCTCACCCCATTGTGTTGAAGTCATCATCAGGCGGCACATAGTCCTCGTCATCACTAGTCAGGCCCAACTCATTCCCGTAGCACTGGTGGACAAAGTGCCAGAGCTCCTTGGGGCAGAGAGGCTGCAGGGGAGAAAAGAGAGAACTGAGATTCTTTTCCTCATGTCATCTGCACACGGATCTGGGCTTGCTTTTCTCTAATGGAAACATGAGCAGGCTTCCTAACAGCCTCTTCTACCACCTCCTCTCTTCACAGGGATCTCAGCCAGGACACATATTCTCAGGATGAAGAGTGGTTTCAGTAAAGCCACAAGCTTCGTCATTCCTTGCCTATGCCTTCAACACTGCATTTGTAGAATGGAACCTGTTATGGTAACTGCTACCTTCTGAGATCACTGCTGAGGTCTTGCACTGCGAGGCTTTAAATGAATGTTATATAATTAATGTTACTTAGGGCCATGGTAAGGGACATGGACATTAAGGATAGAACACAGAAGCCCAGAGTTCCTGATCTGCACTCTACAGGAAGCCAAGGTCTCTGGACTTACTCCCTTATCCACCACTGAAATCTCTTCTTACACTCAGGCTGGAGATAAGACCTTTGTCCTGATGTTTCATTTCCAAGAATGAATTTGGGCCTCCAAGATAACCTAACCCATTGCTGGTGAGTTGCTGTGGTTAGAAAGAGATCCACATTCTCAGAGTGTCACTTTCTCTCTCTCACTTCTGTTGAGTTGGACCTGATTCACAGCTGTAGATGGCACCTGAGGGAATTGCCATCTTTCTCCTGAACAGCCACTGGCGGATTTAAACCAATAGAGAGGTGTGACCTTTGGCTTAGCAGCACAACCACCCATAGACTATTCCACCAGAGCTCCCTTCTCCTAGCTTAAGGGGCCTGAAAAGTCATTTCATCCAACTTTCTCTCTGTTACTTAGCAGCTTTTTCCTTTATTCTGGAGCAAAATCAATTCGCCTGAAATCAAATTCTACTCATTCTACTTCTTCCCAATTGCATTGGGTAACTCCATGGCCTCCCTTAGAGCAATGGATCCAAGAGTTTTCATAAAGAATGTGGGAGGTTCCTGGTCTCATTCTTTCAAGAATGGACGAAGAAGTAGGTGGCTGGTGGAGGTGTGCTGTGAGCCAGAGTTCAGTTCTTTGAATCAGAACTACCTAGAATGACAGTCAGGATCCACTTGGGCTGCAGCGTATGAGGGGCCAGTTCTCAGAATTCACCAACATAGCACCAAAACAAAGTGTCATCTCAACCTCTCTTGCATCTAGACCTCTCCACACTACCTCTGGATTTTATGCACACCATCAACCCGACCTGTCTCTCTGCTAAACTACAGGCTATGGCTCTTTGCAATCTACCTCGTCTACACGGCTGTTCCTGTCCTGACTGACCATTTGGTCTAGCTTATCTGACCACCATCCAAACAGTCCCAGTTAGCAGTCCCTGTTCATCAGGAAGAATTCCTACAGTTCTTTTGTGAAGTCATCTGACCTTGCATGCATGACCTTATATGTATATGTCTCTTTTTGTTGTTGTAGTTTTTAAGAATTATTTTGGAAGTTTATTCACAAATAACAAGATTGTATAAAAAAATTCCACTGAGTCTACAAAAAAGGCTAGTATCTTTAATAAATAAATTGAGCAAGAGTTCAGAATAAAATATAAGCATGTGAAAATGAACAACGTCAATATGCTAACAACAAAATTATTAAAATTTAAAATGTCATCTATCAAACCTTAAAGTACTTAGCTGAAAATTTGACAAGATTCGTCATATTAAAAACTAAACACTGCAAGAAATTCTGAAACACCTAAATAAAGAGATACATTGTTTTCATGGATCAAAAGACTTAGTATCATTGTCAATGCTCCACAAATTGACCTATGGATTCAATGCAATACCAATAAAAATACTAGTAGGTTTGTTCGGTGTTTTTTTTATATAAAAAAATTTATTAAAAAAATTTTAATGAACATTTGGAAACAACCTAGCTTCCCATCAACAAATGAATGGATAGAGAAGCTGTGGTATATTCACACAATGGAATACTATGCTGCATTGAAAAACGACAAATTCATTCAATATTATTCAAAATGGGTCACCCTGGAGGACAGCATGCTGAGTGAAATATCTCAGTCACAAAAGGACAAATACTGCATAGTGCCACCGTTGTTGAATAGGACTGACATCAGGGTTGGGGTGAGACTAAGAAAAATTGGATAAACCATGTATACTGCATTGAAACAGATAAGGGAGAGAACAACTTAAAAGTGATATATGATTGGGTATTATAGTTATGACAAGAGTCCAGAATGAAGGTTGCATAGTGGAGTGTACTCAGGGCCAGGTATACCAATGAAGGAATTTTTCTTTTACTTTTCAAAGAGAAGGGCAAAGTGGGGGGGAGGGAGAAAGGTGCAACAATGAATGAAGGGAAATCCAAAATCTCTGTAAATGTCTTATTTTGAAATGACAAGTGGGGGTTGAAATTTCAAACCTGCCAGTAGAGATTCAAACACAAGGCCGATCACAATTCTTGAAAAGTGACAAAGGTAGAGCATCTCAAATCAAACAAGTTATTAGGACTGAGTAAAGGGCTATAGAATCTCAGGTTAGAAACACTAAATAAGAAATCTACTCAATTTTCTTTAGATAATAAGAGTACAGGCCAAGAAAACAAATTTAGGTCTGTCTTAGAGAGGGTGAAACCAACTCTCTCCTTGGAGGCTAGGATTTTGAAGCTCCACCTCACCTACTTTGGACACATGACCAGGAGAGATTGGTCCTTGGAGAAGGACATACTTGCAGTGATGGGGGCTGTTGTGTTGGAATTAGTGAGATTGGCTCAGGACAGGGTAGGGTTCAGAGCTGTGGTACATAGGGTTACTTATACATCGCAGGCGGCTCAATGGCACATAACAACAATAATATACTATGACAGGTTTGGAAGCAGGAGTAGCATCCACTTTATAAATAACATGCCTCTGGAAACACTATGAACTTTGATAAATGTCGATAGTTGTAGAAGGGCTTCAGGCCTTTTGTTCACAGGGTCGTTATGAATCATGCTCAACTTGAAAGTAATCAACAACCACCACAAGAGTCCAGGAAGACTCATGCACATATTTATATACACACAAGCCAAGTGCATGCATGTGCATGCATGTACGAACACACACACACACACACACACACACACACACACACACACCCCTTTTTCTGGACTGGTGATTGTTCTTTACTACTCCAGTCCCATCTGAGTGAGACTCATGGTCTCCTGGGGCAGAGACCAGGATGCCACACTTAACTGTGTTTTCTCACTGCATTCTTCAAACATCTGAGTAGTCAGCTTGGTGGCAGTGAAGTGCCTCAGAGGATAAGCATCTTACTCTTCACAGCACTGAACCCATTACTAAAGAGGGTGTGCTACTATCAGGGCTTGGGACACTACCTGTGAGAAGGATCAATGCACAGCAAGTCTGGGGAGTTTTCAGAACCGTGAGGAGACAGAGCACTGGTCTGTTAAACAGTAAAAGCACCTTTACCCTTAGGGCCCCTGTCAGAGAGAAGGAACAATCTCAGGGGATGTATATCCTGAGGCTCAAGGAAATTGCTTGGCATAACTCACCTTTTCCAGAAGAGCATTCTGCCAGAGCCGGAACATCATCATATATGTCCTATCTCGAGCTCCAAATGAAGTGAAAAAGTGCTAGAACAGGAGAGAAAATGGTAAGAAATACTTGTGCAGATTTATAATGTAATGAATAGAGACACAAAATTCGTAGGCAATGTGTTTCACATTTACTATCATCCACATTGTGTTTCATACAATCATTTCCATACATTATGTTTTGTAAAATTAATCACCATTGAACTACACCCATTTTTCAGGTCCCTGGCAGACCTTGCCCATTTTATAAATTCTACGTTTTATCCAGGGAGCTCTGATTCTTTTCATATGCTATTACACTCCTCTGATTGACTCCTAGGTAGTTCATTTGCTTGGCCAATACAAATCACACAACTTTCATTTAGATAGCACTTTAAAATCGATTTTTAAAAACTATGTTATATTCACACAATGGAATACTATGCAGCACTGAAAAGCAATGAATTCATAAAACATTACACAACCTGGGGAAGCCTAGATGGCATTATGCTGACTGAAATCTCTCATTCACAAAAGGACAAATACTGTATAGCACCAGTTATAGAATAGGACACACATGAGGGAGATAAGGAAAAAATGAAGAAAGAGTGGATAGATAATGAATACTGCATTAGAACAGCTGAGGGGAAGAAATGTCCAAAAGCAATATATGATCATGCAATTTATATAACAAAAAAAATGAACAAGGGGTGCATTGCAGTGTTGGCTAGAGAAGGGGTTGGGGAGATGATATGCAATATTGAATTTAAAAAAAAATCCAACTTGGTGTTTTCTAATATATGATGACATCCCAAGACTGTAAAATAGGTCTTGATGGTATGGGAGAAAACTGAGGCTCAGAAGTTATATATATAACATGTCTACTACCCCAGCTCAGGTGGCAGAGAATTGTGCTATAAACCCAAAGGCATAAGGTTCAAATCTACGAGTAGCTCCTTCAGAGAAAGATGGGCAGTCTCCTCCTGTGTGATGTACAGCCTTAGAAACCACAGGAGGGTGGGCCAGCTATGAGTTGCTTTTGACTAGAGGACACATAAAACTCACCAGCAGTGTCACGAGACTCAAATTCAGGTGTTCTGTCTCCAAGATCAAACCTCACCATTATTCAGACTCCAAACACACCACCCACCATAGTGGGCTGACCTATGTATAATCTGCATTTCCTTGAATCCTAACAGCCACCATTAATGCAACGTAAGCACATATATCAAAGAGTAGAAGGAATGAAGCATCAGAGGATGGAAAACCCAGGACTGGAATCCCCTTACCTTTTCTGAGTCAGTGCAAACTTGGATGGCATTGGGAATGAGGCGAGCTGTTTTCTCTTTAGTCATGGAGCAGATGTCTTTCAAACGCACTGTCAGCTAGCATCCCCACCAGCACAGAGAACACAACAAACAAGAGAAAGTATGACAGAATTAGACAGTGTTCTCCTGGTGCCAGTTCAGACAGAGGCAGTAAGATCAGAGCTCATATATTTCTAAACGTACAAAGCATTTGTTAAATGAGATATCATTTACTTTAGCCCCTCATTTCATGGAGGCTACACAGCTAAGCAGGAATTGAGCCTCAACCAGAGCCCAAAGATATCTTGAGTTTTGGTCTAGGGTCTTTCTTCATTAATAATTCATCTATGACTACAGAGAGGCCTCATCATTATTTGCCACATGAAGAACTAAAAAACACTCATGCTGAGTGAGCCCAGAATGTGTATCTTACATTTTCTTCATCTTATTCATAAGATGAGGTAACAAAATGAAAGACTAATCAAATACCCTACAACTAATGAACTGCAAATCTCACAAAGTGCACAGGAAATTCTTCTGAGTCTCAAGGCCAAGGTCCTTTCTACTCTGCTACGCTGCCTTCTACGAGGATCTCTGCCAAATATTTATGGCCTTTGCCAAAAGCAACTGATCTTAACATTCTCTTCCACACCCAAGAGGAAGCAGTGAGGAGGCCTGGTAGGAGAGATCCCATTGACGGAACTATGAACTGGGGATCTTTCTAGACTCAGGGCAAGTTTTTGCTCATGATGCAAAGGCTTTAGGTAGAGCCCCAAGTCAGCAAAAGGGTGGAAGTGGGGAACTCGCTCAGTCAAGGGACAGCCCAAAGAGCAAGCTGATGTCTTTACCAGAGTTTCCCAGCGAAAGATGTTGCTGTAGAAGCAGATCCAATTTTCAGAGAGGTAGAGTCGGCCCTGAAGAAGAATGTCTCTTTGGAGTGCACATGAGTAATCTGTGGTCAGATGGAGGACAGGGCAGCTTAGAGGCAGGAAACGTGCTCAGCACACTGCTGCACCCGACAGGTCATGCCTCCCGCCAGCATCACAGGGCCCAAGAGCCCACCACCCCCGAGGGTGTCCCGAGCATCTACTTATCAGGACCATAAAGGTACATGCTATGACTGAATGACTGAGTGAACGAGCAGAGGGGGGCAAGGAAATCCAGTGAACTCCCCCTAAGCACCCCTCCCCACCAGCTCCACAGATCTTCCTAACTCCTTGGATTCCTTAGCCATCTGCAGAGAGAAGAGAGCCATGACTCCCTCCAAGTGGGGCCTGGAGGCTCTCTAACAAACTGCTGGGTCAGTGATCTGAAAGTCCTCCCTCCCTGTCCCCAAAATAGGTTAGCTAAGAGCCTGCTGCTTTCTCTGGACAGAGGCAGCCCAAGTGATCCTGGGAACTCTGCATCTTCCTTCTGAACCCCCTGAGGTTACCCAGCTCACCAACAATGAGGCGCTCCGTGTCTGGAAGTTGCTTAAAGAGCTTTCTAAAGTCTTCATTTCTCTGCTTGTAGGTGGGACTCAATACCTGCAAGAAAAATGATCAATGTCAACAAGGATGTTCTGCGAGGCGAGTGAGGAAGGTATGTTCAAGAGGAACAGTTCTGACAACTGCCCGTCAGAAAGGCAAAGAGCTGCCGGGAGGCTGGGGTAGCCAAAGGGACTTGGTATAGAACAGTGGAGGGGAGACAGTGTGACACTGCCAAATACTTTCTCTGTAATGTGGACGAATGAGAAGATGTTAAACCCACTAATCAGGGTTCCTAGTACATCCTACAAAGAATACTTGTAAGGCACTTCAAGGGACCCATCATTCCAGCTGCTGCTCTTCTGACTGCCCAGAAAGTAGCCCCACTTGGTCAGGAAGCAGTGGTTCAAGAGGGCCTCCTCAGTTCTCCAGCAAGATCCAGGATGCCAAGGCGGCAAGGTGCTCAATGTAACTCTCAGAAAAAGTCAAGTCCCTGCTGGAACTAACAAATCAAACAAGTGACTAGCTGAGTGTGATAGAAAAGAACCAGCCAGCCCATAAAACGGGTGCTAGAATAAACACACAGGCTGAGAATTTAAACCACATCTTGGACTCTAGAAGTCTAAAGCTCATCCCTTTGCTCCATTCTTAGATTATCCAAACCAACAAAGACACTAAGGCCAGAGAGAAGTCCCCTGCTTTATGGCACCCAGCTGGTCGATGGCAGAGCCTGACCCTGAATCCAGATCTCCAGTTCTTGGTCCTCCTACTGTCACTGGTCATGATAAAAGCCCCCTCTACTCGCAAAGCTTCTTAGAGGTATCTCAGTACAAATTCTTATGCCCATAAACTACCTAAGCAAATCCTTTCTGGAGATTTCATGAGCCAGATGAATAAAACAGGCTCTTGTGCTTTCAGAATAAAAACCAAAAATAGTCTCCCATAATTGAAGATTGCCAAGGGTAATGAGTGAAAGCAAAGGCACCCGCCAAGAAAGTGCACACATTACGCCCCAGTGGGGCATCTACTGATCTCCTTACCCATGGACACCCGGACACCACCACTGGCCCTCCACCTAGAGAGCGTGCGTGCCGCTGACGGGCTGGCCTTGGCTCTTCCCTGAGTAGCCACTGTCACACACCTGTGCCCACACCGACATGAGCTTTGGACTTTTCCGTTTTTATTCCCCTGCAAAGCTCGATGCCCCACAAGGAAGCAGAGGCTGTGGCCTTGACCACACTATTAGGAAGCACTGGCATCCAAGCCAAGCGGCCCAGGGGTTTTGTGCGATAAGGAATAGAAGGCTTGCAGGAGGTTGCTGTTATTAGCTGGCGATGAGTTGATCTGACTCACAGCAGCCTGTATTACAGGGAAGAACTACTCCATAGGGCTCTCTTGGCCGTAAGAGTAACATAAGCACATCACCAGGTCTTTCTGTTGTGATCCTGCTGGTGGGTCCTTATTGCCAACCATTAGGTTAGCAGTTAAGCACAAGCCATCTGCACCATTCAGGGATTTTCACTGGCAGTTGCTATTAACTGTGCAGAAAGAAGTTGATTTTCAAATCAGAGTGACTCCATATACATAGCAGAACTGCCTCACTGTAGTTAATTGTGTTTATGGTTGTAAATCACCAGATCTTTCTCCCTTGATGTCTTTGGGTGGGTTCAAACTGCTAACTAACCCCTTGGTTAACAGCCAGACACTTAACCTTTGTGCCACTAGCAATCTGTTCAGGAAATTAAGGAGAAGGGTGGGGGGAGAAACATGGTTTTGGCCACTTTGTCTGTAGCTAATTTGAATTTTAAACTTCTGTTCTTGGCTTTTAATAATACGAGTTGTACTTGAAATAGGGGGTGCTGTTACTTTCCCACCCAAATGCTACACTGTCACAGGGATCTAAAAAACCACTGACCATATTTTGGAACTAAATATCACAGCCATTGGGAGTAAGTCTACTCCATGACAGCTTTGACAAGACAAGACAAGACTTCAGAATACGATATCGATTACTTTCAAACATGTACAGAGCTAAGAATCATCTACTGAACTCCCCTGATGGTCAACTCTAAGTTCTTGTGTCTAACTGATCTTCCAGAGCTAACATGTAAACAGTCTGCAGCAGCCCCTGATCTAAGTCCTTCATGTGCACTTATTTTATTTGCTAACAGGGCTGTTTTTACTACCTCATCTTCCACATGAGGAAATAACACACATAAAGCAGTTAAGCATCTTGTCTAGGGAACAAGGATGCTGAATGAAAGGACAGACCATGACCCAAGGCCATCTAACTCTGAGCTCCTGGTCTTTTATCTATGCTGCCTCAAGGGAAACAACTGTCCTGGCTTCGGGTGTACCTGTACCAAGAAAACAACAATGATGCCCTTGGGAAAGCACCTTTGTAAGAGTGAGCTGTTCACCTGCTTTAGGGGTTCCCACCAGCTTCTTTGTCCCTGTTGTTGTTGCTGAGTGCCATCAAGTTGAAACCAACCCCAGTTGACCCTCTGGTGGGTTTTCAGAGGCAGTAAGTCTCATGCAAGAAGACTGCTCAGCTTTCTCCCATGGAGCAGCTGGTGGATTTGAACTGTGTCCCTTGGAGTTGACAGCATAGCTCCTTACTACTAGGCTGTTGTTAACTGTCTACCAAGTCAAGTACAACTCATAGCGACCCTATAAACAATAAATAGGAACCCTATCCTATCCTGTGACAATCTCACCATCTCTAACACACTCGAGCCCATTACTGCAGTCACTGTCAATCCACCTGGTTGCGGGTCTTCCTCTCCTCCATCATCCCACCTTTCCAAGCATGATGTCCTTCTCTAAGGAACAGCCAAGTTGTAGCAACATGCCCAAAGTATACAAGACAAAGCTTTGCTGTCGCTGCCTTCAAGGAGCACTTTGGCGAGTGGGTACTAATATAAGCCTGAGAAACAATCGACCATATGGTGGCAAAACGCATTCAGGTGAAAATGGCCAAGATGGCTGTCAATTACCTGAAGCCTAGAAGTTCTCCTAACTTTATTTTTCTTTTTTCCATGTTGGCCAGGCACCCTTGCTTCTTTTATATTCAATAAGCAACTCACTCAGACATCTAGACAGGCTGAGATGTGGAAGGTCTGACCATCACTGAACCACAAACCAAACAAGAAAATCGCTCCATCCTTCTCTCTTCTGACCTCCAAGCTTCACTGTTGGGAGAATGGAGGGCAGACTCTGCCCTGGCCTTTGGTGTCAACCAGTCTTTATAGTGGTAGCAAATCCTTAATTCAGGTATACAAGTAAACACTGACCTCCCAATCTGGATCTCAGGCCAGCCTTTCCCAACCAGAGGATGCATATGAAGGAGCTGAAATAGAGAGACACTTCCAATTGACTTGTTTGTACCTATCAATGAGCTCCCTTCTTGATGCAGGAGACCATGAGCCCTCCTCACTGAGGGCTTTAGAGATCACTCCCGTCTCAATGCATCTCCTCCACTAATGAGGGTCAGCTCACCTATTTTAAGTTAAACTGGTCAAGGCATTTTGGTTCAAGATTGCTAAATCGTGGTAGGACAAAGCAGGGACTGGTAAGACAGCAGCAGAACAGTCACCCAGACAGAGAAACAGGCTGCGACACTCACGGCTGGGACTTCTTCTGATCCATGCCAGCAACAGTGTTCGGGACCAGCAGATAAGCTGTAAAACATCTTCAGGGTCCCCAACAAAGACTGACTTTCCTGCTCCAGTAGGAGGCTCCAGAGGACCCCAGTTTCCACCAAAGTTTCCATGATGCCCCACGTTCTCACCACCTAGCGAAGCCAGAGCCTTGATGCTGGATCTTCTACTGTCTCGATGGAACACAGGGAATCAGACTCGCCAAACCGATGAACACAGATGGGGGGGCCTGAGCGGCACAGGGTAGCGCAACTTTCCTCTCTGGGAGACTTCCGACCTCAGCAAGAACCCTCAGGAGTGAGAGGGTGCAGTCAGCACAGTTCTAGGGGCAGGCTGCTGGCTGGCCCCCCACACCAGGTTCTGCAGCGTCCTGTGTGGCTCTGTGATAACGTGTCTGGTGTCTAGGCTGAGCGTGCCCCTGGCGGGGGGGAGGGGGGCGTGGTGTGGTGCTGCTTCTGGTCTATGGAGTCATGCCAGGGTGTCCGGCAGAAGGACAGGGCACGCAGGTGACAAAGCAGGTACAGGTACGTGGGGCTGCCTGAGGGCTCTGAATAGCAGACTCAAGTGAACAGACAGACTTTACCAGGGATAAGACCTCACAGCAGAGTCCAGAGGTCTGTCCTCACTGGTTATTCATATGCGGCAGAGTGACTCATAGTTTGTCTGAAGCTCCAGAGGAAACACAATGCCCAGCTCCCCAGCCCTGACCTGTTGGAGAGCAGTATCTCTTATCCTGGGTGGTCACCAAGGGTCATATCTCATGACAGGGCTGAAGCCACAGGATCTGCTGTCACTCTCATGCCCTAGCCCCTGTCCTTGCCTCTTTCCTCCTTGACCATGGCCCCACCCCCAGTAAGCTGACCAGCAAACAACTTCTTTGTTAATCACCCATGGCAGGCGTGAGATGCAGGGTGGTGGGCGGGCAGGGCCAGGGCCCTACACATGCTTCAAGTTACAGGATCTGGGTGATAGTTCTGGCCAATGTACTCCAGTAACCCCTGGGGCAAGCCTGGCCTCACCCTTCACCCCCAGCAGACGTTTCCTGCAATGTAAAGTTGCTGGCCACAGCTTGGAGTGGGGGAGGAGGGAGGAGTTGCCAGGGCATGGCTGTGATGAAAACTGAAATTTGATGCCCAAACAGCTAGGAACTTCTCTGGAGACACTCTCTCCGCTCTTGAATCCATCCATCCATCCATCCATCCATCCATCCATCCATCCACCCACCCACCCACCAGCCTTCCAGCAGTATCAGCAAGAGATTTGGGAGTTTCACTGTTATTTCAGACATGCTGATAGCAGTGAAATTGGGAAGAGTCTTGAGAAGTTGAGATCCACAGCTTTGACGCCCTGTTGCCTTCATTTAAAGACCCTGCCTGCCCCATAGTTCCAGCACAAGCAGGG